GGCAGACCTCTGGGCCCCTGGGTGCCTGGTGTTGGAGGGGATCCAGGATTTGCTTTAGCCAGGTATGGTAAGCCATGTAGGTATGCGAATGAATGCCAGGAGAGGAGAAGTTTGTACTCGCAGTCCCCTAGGAGGATAAGGCAGGGCATGCCACTGAGGGCCACAAGGGGAGGCCCCAGAGCCAGAGGCCATTACAGAAAAACGTGGGCCAGAGCCTTCGCTGTGGTTTCTGTGGGGACGAACTGGTGGGGCAGGGTAAACAGCGTTAGGACTGGCTAATTTTGGAAAAATCTCAGCGGGCCCTGGGGCGTAGGGGCTGTCCCTGGTTGTCTGGCACCAGCCCAAGGGGTGATCAGGGCAGGGGGACAGTGGCCCCGAGTGCGAGAGCCCCACAGAGGAGGGGTTCGGAGTGTGGGCTCTGGATTGGTGGGTTTGCACGTGAAAGGCGCTCTTGCGAGGGAGTCCTTCTCGGGCTCTAGGAATCCACTGGCTCTGGTCGGGGCAGGACTCTGGGTCAGCAAGGGCCCCGATGTCAGATCATCAAAATTACAGAATAGAAAGATGTGGTTGGAATGGCTGGTCTGTGGCAAAGCTACCAACTCGTGTCCTGATGAGGCGGTTGTCTGCATGACTGCACAAGTTACAGAAAGACTCGATTAGTGAACATCCACCCCTTATTTAAAAGGCTCAAGTAGTTTGAGAGGGGCAGTGGTGGTTAGACCCTCCAGGGAAAAAGAATGATTTCTCCCAGCAGGGCCATGTTGCTGCCAAATGAACAGCATCACGTTTTTCTGTAAGAAGTCCCCCAGCTCGGATACTTCTGGGGCAAATGTGTATAATAAGCCATAAAGCAATACAAAGAATATCGGTGCCCTGAAGAAATATCATATGCATTTGAGCAAACAAGGGTGTTCTAAAACATCGTAATCATTTCTCCCTTGACATCTCGCTTGCATACAGTCAGTCCTCCTTTATTCATGGATTCCGCATTTGCAAACGTACCTGCTCGCTGAAATTTATCTGTGACCCCCAGATCCACTCCCGTGGGGCCTTCATGGTCCTGTGGGGCCATGTGCAGTGAAAAACAGGAGTCACCCGCCCTGCACGTTGCCCGCCGAGGCAGGACAGAGGGACACCCTGCCTTCTTGTTCCAGCTCGTGCTGTGGACAGGCGTCCTGTTCGCAGTGCGGTTAATGCCGTGTTCTTTGCATTTTTGTGCTCTCCGTTGGGGATGGGGCTGCTTGAAATGGCCCCAAGCCTCGTGCTGAAGGGCCATCCGGCATTACCAAGTACAAGGAGCCTGTGATGCCTGGGACGGAGAAAACCCATGTGTTCGCCACGCTCCCTTCAGGCCCGAGTTGTGGTCCCAGTGACCGTGAGCTCAGTGGTAATAGATCAATAGTATGTGTTTTCAGGTGTCTTTCAAGGGAAACACACATAAAACAAGGTTACGTTTGGAGGAGGTGATGGAAGTGTGGGCACAGACTCCCAGGAGCCCAGCTCTACGCCTCCATCAGGAGCAGATTTGGCCCTGGCTAATTCAGTGCCCGCCACAACTTTACGGAACATCGAGACAGTGAACACTAAGAATCAGCTGCAACTTTTTATTTTGAAATCCTTTCAGATCCACAAGAAGCGGGGAGCCTGGGTGGCCTAGTTGGATAAGCGTCTTGCCCTTGGCTCAGGTTGTGATCCTGGAGTCCCGGGATTGAGCCCCTCGGCTCAGCGGGAAGTCCGCTTCTCCCTCTGCCTGCCACTCCCCCTGTTTGTGTGCTCGCTCTCACTCTCTCTCTCTCACAAATAAAAAAAATCTTAAAAAAAAAAAAAGATTCACAAGAATTTGCAAAAAAGGGTACAAAGAGTCCCAGGTGCCCTTCGCCAAGCATCTTGCCGTGATGATACGCCAGCCGGTAAGCGGATACTCCATGGTCAAAGCCAGGTCACTAGCATGGGTGGAATATTGTCAACTCAGGGACAGACCCTGTTTGGGTTTCGCCAGTTGTTACGTTGCACTCTTCAGTGGGGAAAAGGGAGTGTGTAGTTCTATTAATTTCTTTTATAATTTTATTTATTTGAGAGAGAGAGAGAGCGCATATGAGCAGGGGGAGGGGCAGAGGGATAAGCAGACCCGGTGCGGAGCAGGGAGCCTGGCGCGGGGCTCAATCCCAGGACCCCGACATCGTGACCTGAGCCGAAGTCAGACACTTAACCGACTGAGCCCCCCCAGGCTCCCCTGGTTCTATGAAATGTTATCCTTGGTATGTATAGATCTGAGTAACCAACACTACAGTCAGGATGCAGAACGGTTCCCAAAGAAACAATGATTTCTTTTTTTTCAAACTGTGGTAAAACATACCTAAACATAAAATTGGCCACTGTAACCATTTTTTAAGAGTATAGTCCAGTCGCATTAAGCACATTCACACAGGTGTTCCACCATCCCCACCTTCCGTCTCCAGAACTTTCCGTCTCCCCAAACTGAGACTGTGTCCCCACAAAGCACGGACTCCCCACCCCCTGCCCCAGCCCTGGATCCCACCATCTCTTCTCTGTGCAGACGGGACTCCTCTGGGGACCTCCTAGAAATGGGGTCCTGGGAGATGTGTCCTGCATCTGGCTCCTCTCACTAAGGCCAGTGTCCTCAGGGTCCCTCCGCGTCGTGGCAGGTGTCGGGATTTCCTTCCTTTGTATAGCTGAATAATATTCCATAAAACAGTGATTTCTTGACCTGTTTTGTGGGAGGCACTGTCTCCCATTCTTCTGGGGAAGCAGACAGTGAATGATCAGAATAAATAAGTCAATTACATCGTATGTCAGAAGGGGCCGGCTCGTCATTCATTCTTGCCGCTGAAATTCTATCCCTTGGACCCCCTTGAGTGCAGTGGCGCCTGGTGTCCCCAATCATAACCCTTAGACACGGATACCTCAAAGTGTCTTCTCCATCATCAGGGGGAGGTTTAAGTTGCTGTAGATTTAGTGTGCCCATCGTTTATTAAAATTCTTTGGGAATGGTGATCCCCAGAGGGTTTGTATGGTGGCGTTTCCTCCCGTGGACTGTGATTAAAGCAGAACCCAAGTGACTTCAGGCAAGATCTCGGGTCACAGGAACAGTCTGTCAGGCAGGCAAAAGACTCAATTCAGGGTTTGTCCCGTATTTGTACATTGGGGTCATAATTGTTGTGGCATTTAGGTGGTGTAGAAATGGCAGAAAATCCCTGCTCTGGACCACGGAGGCCTCAATTTATGACTTTCACCTTTATAAATATGGGTGTTCTTATAGGAACGATATCCTCATCACCTTTGTCTTGATGATGATAGTAATTGTTAGCCACTTGGGATCCTGATGCCGGGACGTCTGAAGTCACTGACCAGATGTCCCCTTCACCATGTGGGACCATGTTAATGAATGGCTGTGGATCTGTGCTCTGTGTGGAACATCGCATCACACAGCCTACTGGTGGAGTCTCCGTTGATGAGCTTTGTTCATGACTCCTTGACCCGAAGTGTTCTCTCTGACACAAACCCACCTGCCCACCTGGAACTACCGTGCATTTCCACCTAAGTTAGAACTCTGAGGGCAGGCACCTGGGTGGCTCAGTCGGTTAAGCATCTGCCTTCGGCTCAGGTCATGATCTCAGGGTCCCAGGATCAAGCCCCACATCGGGCTTCCTGCTCTGAGGGGGAGCCTGCTTCTCCCTCTCACTTCTGCCTGCCGCACGCCATAAGTGAATGAATGAACTCAGATGTTGAATCCCTCTCCCCAAAAAAGCTCTTAAGAGAAGTACATTCATTTTCCTCTAGTGCTGCTCCCTTGCCCACCCTAAAGGTCATGGTCTGCATGCCGCAGAGAACCACAGTCCCCACTACTCAACCTGTGTGACAGATACCCGTGGATGGGTGCACTGGGGACCCAGGAGTCACGCTAGTGGACAGATCTCTTCCTAATGCTGCTGGTTATCGCTGCCTGGAGGAGCGCTTTCGAGTGTGGTTTTCACCCTGAGAATGAGCGAGCCAAGCAGCCCGTCCCAGCCAGACGCGATTTGTCAAACTGAAGAGGGTGACAGTTTGGCTTTCCGAGTTTCACTGTTCCATCAGTGAGGAAGGTGATCAGAGCGTATGCACATCCCACTGTCTCAGTTCCTACCTTAATCAGCAGAGGAGTGTGAAGAACCCTTTGGAGCCCTCGTTGTGTGTTGGTTTACAATACTCGTGTGAGATGGGATTGGCCCCTCTTGTCCACTGTGTGCTCAGATTCTATCAGTGTACTTACGATCAGGGCATGTGTGGTCCTACATCATGCCTTGTGGTGGCCGCGTCTCAGTGTCGTCCTGACATCTGATCTCCGGTTAATTACAGTCAGAGAGCGAGAGCGAGAGCGAGAGCGAGAGAGAGAGAGAGAGAGAGAGTGTGTGTGTGTGTGTGTGTGTGTGTGTGATGTCGGCACCGAGCACAGAGCTCACTATTTAGTGATCTTAGATTACTTATAGTGAATCTAAACTCCTCTCTGCTTTTTTACCCCCCACCAGGATGGAAGGGGTGTCAGGATTTTTTTGTTGTTATTTCACCAAAGGAGAAGCTACTGTGCGATTTCCAACTAAATGGTCACAGTGGGGACCAATTTCCTGCCCTCCAGACCCGCTGTCTCAGCCAATACAGCGGGAGAGGACGCAGCTTTACATTCTAGAAGGACCACACGGAGTATAAAAACGGCTCAGCCCGGCCTCGCACCGCGCTGGGTCTCGGAGCCCCGACCGTGAACATGGGGAACACGCATTCCAAAACCAGTGACAGACACAGCGCGCACCACAGCCGCCCCGAGCTGTCTTTCTACAGCTCTTTTCCTCGGAAGTGGAGCGAGAATGTCTTTCTAGATAACGAGCTGCTGACCTCCAAGATCCTGTCCGTGCTGCGGCCGCAGTCGGAACGGGGCTTTCGGACAGGCCCCCTGCGCTATCCTGCCCACTTTCTCAGCACCAACTCTGTGTTTGCCTCTGTCGCAGCGTCCCTGAAGGAGCACCCAAGGGCCAACCTCTTGTCTGATGGCAGCCCGGCTCTGTCCAGGAATGTCGGCATGACGGTCTCACAAAAGGGGGCGCCGCAGCCAGCACCCAGCCCGGCAGGAACGGGGACACAGCTTGGGTAAGTGGGGTCCTGTCCCTGCGCTGGGTGCCAGTGAAGGGGGAGAGGGAGGGAATGGTATGTGACATTACACAGGGACCCCCGCAGCCAGGCTCTCCTAAGGGAGACCCTCAGGTCCGTGTGCACCTGCCCGTTGGCCCCCAGCCACGCCATGAAATTCCTATTAACACTTCCTTCAGAGATCTGATTGTCTTTATTGAAACGCCGTGTGCTGTGTTCTGGGGGTACTTGACCATTAGGAGCTAGTTCTGTTTCCTGCTCTCAAAGGGCCCATGGACAGGGTTCCTGTCTGTGTTCGAGACTATGCTAGAAGTCCCGCCGAGGTTGCCATGGAGGTAGCATCCCGTTATTGATGCCTTAACCCTGTCCTCCGAGGACTTGGAACTCAGCAGCGTTTGTGCGCAAAACCTAAGGCTAATAAATGTCATCGAGGCGGTCCTTGTTCGGGTTGGCGGGGAAAGGGGCTGATTATCTTCTGCCAAAAAAAGGGCTCTCCCTCCACCCTCAGCTGAGTGTGGCTGTGTCCACCCAACTCTTGCTGGAAAGAATTCCAGGGGCCCTGGTGAGCTCGGGTGGCTGTTAAAGGAAGCATACGATTGATTGCACCCTTAGAACGTACCGGACATCGGACTGAAGTTAGTTAGGATGGAGGAAGTCCTGGTGTGATGTGGACAGATAATCTCCTGATTTTTACACATGATCTGTGACAGAGTTTATGTTGAAATCCAGAAAGTTCTCAGGTAGATTTGCCTTCATAGAATGTGTGTGTATGTGTTTAGCTCAATTTTTTAGAGTAACCGTTTTTATGATTTTTTGTTTAGACCAATCGCAGGAGAGATGGATGAAGCCGATTCCGTGTTTTTAAAATTTAAGCAGGCAACTGATGACTCTCTCTCGCTCACATCCTCGAATGCCGAGCCCATTTTTGTAGAAGGTACGGTCACCTCGACTCTTACACGGGCATCCTGTGGTCTCCACCCACCCTGGAAGGGGCTGCAACCCATGTCATTGTGCCCCCAAGACGCCCGCTGGGGTAGCCCAGAGTCAGCGAGGCTCTGGCCCCCAGCCTCGGTGTCTTACTCCTCCCTCAGACCCCTGCACAGCTTCGCTGAGGAGTGAGATCGAGTCAGATGCCCGCGATTTCGAGGCCGAGTCCTGGAGCCTTTCCGTAGATGCAGCGTACGCAAAGACACAGAAGAAGGAGGTGGTCAAGAGGCAGGATGTGCTCTATGGTAAGAAGTTCTGCGCCGTCACACGAACCTTCCACTTGCTTCTTTTCCGCCTTTGCTCTGATTGGTTGCACTGAGGAGCCCGGGCTCCACTAAGACCTCAGGCTCCTCCCTGAGACTAGGGGGCCAACTCTGCCTGTTCCCCTGGGGCCGCCCTGCCTTCGCAGTCAGGGAGGAGGTGGCCCGGGAGGGCTTTGTGAGAACCTGTCCCTGAGGATGAGTGTGGGTGAATGCCCAGTCCTGACTCATGCTGACCCTGCTGGGGACCACGAAAGAGAAGACTATCCCGGACCCATCCCAGCCATCCCTGGTGACCCCAGACAGGCCTGGGGTGGCTGTGACTAGGGGTGTGAGAGGCAGAAGACCCAGCACTGGCTCCAGGGTGATCGCCCCGGGCAGCCACGCTCCTGAGATGGGAGGTTTTGGACACAACCTGTCCCCAGGCCGGGTGCCATGTTGGGGGCCTTTCTCTCCCCCAAACGCTTACTTGTTCTTATGATTCTCTCTTCGTGGGAATCATTCCCCAAGACACTGCTGGGTCGCCTAAGGAGGTATTTTCTGTCCCTCACTGGGGCTCAGTGAGGAGGTTCTGCTGTACAAGTGTCTTCCGTTCCACTGGGTCCGGTTGGCAATGGTTGGGTCCACTGGCCCTTGAGTCCCTCCATGTTTCACACCCTGACCTTGCTTGCCTTTTTTTTTTTTTTTTTTTTTAATTTTATTTATTTGACAAAGAGAGTAAGCACAAGCAGGGGGAGCGGCAGGCAGAGGGAGAGGGATCCCAGGACCCCGAGGTCATGACCTGACCCAGAGGCAGACACCAAGCCAGCTGAGTCTCCTAGGTGCCCCTCACACCCTGAGCTTTCTGCCTGGGCCAGAGTGGTTGGGGTGTGGGCAGGAGGAGAACCCTGTCGATGCTTTGCCTCAGGGCTCCAGACCCAGGGCAAAGATCCTGCAGGGAAGGACAGGGAGGACCAGTCTGGATGCTTCTATCTAGGCAAGCACAGACTGCCTCCAGCCCCCACGGCCATCAGCACTGGGCCTGGCTCTGATGACCTCTGTCTGGTCTCTAGCCACTTCCAGGCCTTGATTTGAACAGCAGTAAAACTCCCAACACGAAACCTGATCTGTCTTTGCCTTTCACCAGAAAATTAAATTCTATACTTGAACTCTGCTTTGTCGTTGGCTATGGTCTGGGTCTAGTCACTGATGTGCACAGGCGTATGAGTTTCCCACCCCAAGTAATGGTGCTCACCAGAACAATCTTCTTGCTTAAAACAGCCTCTTTGGGCTGGAAGTCCTCCCCTGAATTGGGGGCCCCAGCGCACCCCGAGTCCTCTCTTTCCTGACACCACTCCAGCCCTCTCGCTGTTCCCTGACCCTGGGGCCCCTGTGGCACTGGGCCTGGGGGGACGAGAGGCCCGAACACCCCCCCCCCAGACAGTAAGACGACCAGGGGAAGGACTTAGGAGGAGAACTGGGAGAAGCCAGCCGGGTGCCCGGTGGGTAGGCGGTACGCATGCGTGCCATCGCGGGCCACAGGAGGAGCAACGTGCATCCTTCGGTCCGTGTCCCCGCAGAGCTGGTGCAGACAGAGGTGCACCATGTCCGGACACTCAAGATCATGCTGAAGGTCTACTCCAGGGCCCTGCAGGAGGAGCTCCAGTTCAGCAGCAAGGCCATCAGCCGCCTCTTCCCGTGTGTGGACGAGCTCCTCGACCTGCACAGCCACTTCCTCTCTCGGCTGAAGGAGCGCCGCCAGGAGTCCCTGGAGGAGGGCAGTGACCGCAATTACGTCATCCAGAAGATCGGGGACCTCCTGGTGCAGCAGGTGGGCGCGCCGGGGCGGGCAGCAGGCCCGGATGAGCCCCTGCCTCGTCTCAGCTCCATGCAGTCGGGAAAAGAACACGGTCTCTGTTGACTGAGAGCCTACGGCGGACAGCGGTCCCGGGCCTTTGCAGGAACGCAGGTGCCCGAGGGCCGAACACACCTGGGCAGACACTGTCCACCGTTACTGCATTCTGGGCTTCTGTCTGGTTGCTCAGCTGGGCTCTCTGTTTTTGTTTTTCTGGTTTAGATCTCCGTGGTTGGGGCTGTTAGAAGTAGGTCTGTGGTAAAGGGCACGAACCCTAAATTGACTTCTGAGTCGACGTCCGAGCCTAGGCCAAGGTGGACAGAGGGGCTCGAACTCCTTGTCCGACCTCAGAGTGCTCCAGGCCTCCAGAGTCAGCTCATTAGAGTTAATTAGCAGAATACCTCTTTTGCTTTTTTTTTTTTAAGATTTTATGTATTTGAGCGAGAGAGAGAGAAAGTGTGCACCGTCGGGGAGGAGCAGAGGGAGAGGGAGAAGCAGGCTCCGCACTGAGCAGAGAGCCCGATGCGGAGCTCCATCCCAGGACCCCGGGATCGTGACCTGAGCCAAAGGCAGATGCTTAACCCACTGAGCCCCCCAGACATCCCAGCTTTTAAATGTTTCTGAATTCTTCAGCATAAATGTACTCCTCCCCCTTGGATTTTAGGAAGTTTTAGAGCTAAAGTCCATTAGAAAGTTTCTTCTCTTGCCTTATTGTACCTTGCGATGAGACCCCCGTCCCCCCAACCCCACCCCTGTATTGAGGTCCTGCCTGAATAAGAAAGTGGAGGCACGAGTTATTCGAGACCTGTTTTAGTAGTCAGCTGAGCCCGATGAGAGCGATCCCTACAGGTTTTCCCGCTCCTTCCCGCTAACATCTGTGTGGTCTCTCTGCAGTTCTCCGGCGAAAATGGGGACAGAATGAAAGAAAAATATGGTGTCTTTTGTAGCGGCCACAATGATGCAGTCAATCATTACAAGTTGCTGCTACAGCAAAACAAGAAATTTCAAAGCCTGATCAAGGTAAGGAAAAAATTTCTTTTTAATTAAAAAATGTATCCGCTTTGCTGTAGCTTGTTTTCCGCTGGACTTTAGACTTTGGGAGAGCTTACGATGAGGCATCTGTTACACACCAGCGATTTCCAAGTTTTTCAGGGAAGTCCAGATGTAGAACAAAGCAAAACACACCTGCGGCTCTGTTCAGCGGGCTGTAGCGTGGCACCTGCTGGCCCTCGTTCCTCAGACTGCCAAGGGGACACAGGTGTCATTTCAAGGGGCCACCCTGCCCTGGGATCTGCCCCTCTCTTGCCTCCTTCCCTCTCTAGTCCCCACTTATCCTCCCTGTACCCCCCAGGCCTGCAGAATGACCCCTACCTGCCTTCTGCCTAACAGTGTGCAGGTGCTCAAAGCCCAGACCCCAAAACACAGCATCCAGCCCGAGTCCGCCAGGTCAGGCAAGGCCCTGCCTCCCGCATTAGACTTTAATTTGAAGTGATAACCAATAATTAATGGCTGTAGAAGTAAGAGGGACAGGTTTTTAAATTCCGCTCCCTTACAGTCGCAGTGGACAGAGGTAAAAGGGAGTGGATTGGCCCAGGAGGCTCACAAAGCCCACAGTCCTGCTCAGAAGCGGCTCTCACGATTGCTGGCATTCCTGGAGTGCAGGAGTGCGGGGGGTGCGCAGAGAAGCAGAATGTGTGGAATGCTCTGGAGGGCACCAGAAATGGCCCTCCGCCCTGCCGAGAAATGGCTTCGGATGACCGCTTCCTGGGTTCTTAGCCAGAGGCGTGCTTCAGGAGCCAGCAGGGGGCCGACTTGGGCTCCAGCGCAGTGTGGTTCCAGAGGCTTCTGACAGCCGCCAGTCAGGGTCCCCATGTGTGGACATGCATGCGTGCGTGGGTGCGTGAGTGTGTGCTCACACCCGCGATACACAGCTCTCCGGGTGATTCCCTCCCGCCCCCCTGCCCCCTGGCTGCTTCTGGTTTCTTCTGAACGGGTTTTACAAGAGGGGAGGCTGCCTTCGCTTCTGTGGCCTTTCTGTACACAGCAGGCGAGCCTTACTTGCAGTGAGTACTTGGAAAGGTCTTGTTGAGCTGAGAAAGGGGGAAGCGCCCGTCCTGGCACGAGATGAGATGCCAACAGGACATTTTGTTTCCCGTGTCGTAGAAGATCGGCAACGTCTCCATCGTGAGGCGGCTGGGCGTGCAGGAGTGTATCCTTCTGGTCACTCAGCGCATAACCAAGTACCCCGTGCTGGTGGAGCGCCTTATTCAGAACACAGAAGGTAACGTCGCTGCCCTCACTGCCTGGCCCGCTTTCGCCCTCAGGGGCGATCTCTGTCTCTCTTGCCCCATGTTAGCAGTGGACTAGGTGAGCGCCCCTCTGTGCTCCATCCCCGGTGATCTGGATTCACGCCGAGCTCTGGGGTTTCCGACCCAGTGTGGGTCCAGGCACAGAGATGGTCCGTGTGCTGCATGCCTAGAAGCTGGAGGGCAGAGGAAACAGGGCGCACAGCCCAGCCCGGAGTTCTCCGAGGCCAGGGCCTGACCACACCTGACCATACCTCCCCCGCCCCCAGGAGATTTGGGCCCTGGGAGAACAAGCACATTCTCCCGCCACAGAAGCCAGAAGCTTGCAGTGAGAGGAGCGGGGTGTGTGTGGGGGGGTGTTTTGAAGAGCTGGCGGGCCCAGGGGCGCATGTTTAGCGAGAAGTGACCGCTGGGCCACATGGAGCTCACGGGAGGCTCTGTCTTGGCAAAAACCAAAGGCCGGGCTGCCACGTTTTTTCCGAAAAGCATTTACAGCTCGGGAGATCCGAATCAGAAGGTGGATTCTCAAGGGTCCCCTGAGCTGCGGCTTCAGGGAACAGCCCTCAGAGACCCGGCGTGTGTCCCCTTGGCGCTGTGGTGGCGGAAGGGGGTGGAGGAAAGCCCTGACTCTGGGGTGTGTGTGTGTGTGTGTGTGTGTGTGGCAGCTGGCACCGAGGACTACAGAGACCTGACCCAGGCCCTGAGCCTCATCAAGGACATCATCTCCCAAGTGGACGCGAAGGTCAGCGAGTGCGAGAAGGGCCAGCGCCTCCGGGAGATCGCGGGGAAGATGGACTTGAAGTCATCCAGCAAGTTCAAGAATGGGCTGACCTTCCGCAAGGAGGACATGCTGCAGCGGCAGCTCCAGTTGGAGGGCACGCTGTGCTGGAAGACCACGTCGGGGCGCCTGAAAGGTAAAGGCCCGTCCCTCACCTCTGCTGGGGGGCGGTGGGGGGCCTTCCCGGATCCGCAGCGTCTTGTGCACAAGCAGGCGCCGGCCTAGCTGCTCCGTAGCCGAAGGGAGGTTGGGTGCACGCTGAGTCAGGATGAGACGGGCAGCCAGGAGCATGGGAAGAATGGGCTTTGGGGTGCTGCTGGACCCACCACAAGGGCCACTAAAGCGCGGGGGCCCACTGAGCCTATGGCTCCTGAGCAGAAACCCGAGGCTTCGGGACACCCCAGGTTTGTCAGAGGCCCCAGGTGGCCAAACAAGCAGCCGCTGAAGGCCCTCTGTGTGGGAGGACACGCCACCCAGACCACTGACCTCGGTGGCCCCAAGCATCGCACTCCCTACTTGGGGTGTCCTTCCAGCCCCACTTCCAAAATCCACCATGTGCTTCCAGAACAGAGAGCACTTGGGACTCAACACTGAGTCTCCTGGCTCATCTCGTGAGCTTCTGGAAACTTCCTCACCCGCCCTTTGACATCAGCATCTCTTTTTTTTTTATATATATATTTTTTTAAGATTTTATTTATTTGAGAGTGAACATGAGAGAGCACAAGTGGGGTGAGGGCAGAGGGAGACACAAACTCCCTGCTGAGCAGGGAGCCTAATGCGGGGCTCGATCCCAGGACCCTGAGATCATGACCTGAGCCAAACGTAGATGCATCACTGACTGAGCCCCCCAGGCGCCCCAACATTGGCATCTTGAAAGATCTCTCGGGGAGTGTTTGAGATGGCCAATGACCAAATGTGTCTGTCCAGAATTTGCACAGGCAAGCACCCAGCAGATGGTTTAACACCCGCTGTGTGCAGGACACCGAGGTGGGTGGTGGGAGGCCCTCGCCTTCAGGGGACTCCAGTCCATGGCCTGAAAGGGAGAAGTGAGGAAACAAGCAGAAACTAGTGAAAAGTGCAGTTAATGCTTCAGAGGAAGCCGGCAGGACACAGGCGGGAGAATTATGGAGGGAGATAGAAAATAGTGAGGTAGACGGACACCCCCAGACTCCTGCAGGAGCATCACGGCGCCAGGCTGAGTGACCGGGACCCTCCCCGGAGGCTGGAGCCTCCCCCGGGACGTACATATGGCCCTGCGACCCCGTCAGACGTGTCCTTCTGTGCTTTCTCCTTAGACGTCCTTGCTGTCCTGCTGACGGACGTGCTTTTGCTGCTACAAGAAAAGGATCAAAAATACGTCTTTGCCTCGGTGGTAGGTGTCCTGTCTTCTTCAGATGAAGGTTCCCGCCCGCCTTAGGGACCCTTAGGGGTTTGCTGGAAGGCTGCCTGCACAGAAGGCGGCTCTATGTTAACCCACTGTCCCAGGTCCTCCCGGGGGCCAGAAGGTTCCAGCAAAGCAGGAGTAGAATTTTCCGAGACCCCCGGGGTCCTGTCTGGTTGCCTGGGAAGGGTTCAGGGGCCCGTGCTAACATCCCATCTAATCTTAGCCTTTACATTTCTGTGACTCTGCCTCACTCGGGGCTTAGGGTCTTGGGGGCTCCAGCTGACTCTGTCCTGCCCCCACCAAGTATGACACCAGTTACCCCAGACTGAGGCCACCCTCATTGCTTCAATTTACCTTCATCACCTCTGTGAAGGCCCCATCTCTAAATAATCCAAAGGGTCTTTGCCCCCCCCGATGGCAAATATCTCTGAATTATTTGAGAACAAAGGGGCACAGGAGCCCCCCCACAACCCGCTTCCCCTCAGACTCGGCTCCACGGCTGCTCCAACACAGCCCAGTGAACGGGGTCCTCCCCGACCCCGCCTTCCACCCACACAGGACTCGAAGCACCCGGTCATCTCCTTACAAAAGCTCATTGTGAGGGAAGTGGCCAACGAGGAGAAAGCCATGTTCCTGATCAGCGCCTCCCTGCGGGGGCCCGAGATGTACGAGATCTACACCAGCTCCAAAGAGGAGAGGAACACTTGGATGGCCCACATCCGAAGGGCCGTGGAGAGGTGAGGAGGGCCCGTGTGGGTGTTTCCTGCCCACAGCTATTTGGCCTTTGGCTTTGGGCAAAGCAGCTGTGACCTTGAAGTACCCAGGAGAGGGCTGGAGGTCGCAGGAAGGCCAGAGGCCCCTCTGCCTTTCCCCTGCCTCATTCCGCCCTAGTGCCTTGTCCACCTCATCTAAAGGGGACACCTGACACCCTTCCACCTCCTTCCACCAACAGCTCAACCAGTCAGAGGCTAAAAAGATGTTGCTGGCCAGTGGGTGTGGGCCCAGGGTCTTCTACCCTCTGTACTGGTGGGGTGCAGTGAGGGACACCTGACCTGGGGGCCAGACCTGTCAGAGGAGGTTGTGGTGTCCTGTCCTGTCCTTCCTCAGGCCAGGGACCCCTCGGGACCCCAGCCAGCTGCTGCTCCCTCTCTTTATGCCTGGAAGCTTCCTGAACCTGCTCAGAGCTCCCTCGATGCTGAAGTTCAGTTCTGCAGCCCCCCAGGAAATGAGCTGTCCTCAGTCTCCTCCCGCCACGTGGTGGCCAGGCATGGAACCCACGGCTGGTGACGGGCTGACACTTGAAGACAGGATAAAGGCGGCGGCTGCCTTGCTCTTCCCCCTCCCGTCTCTCCCTCACTGTTACCGAGCTCAGTCACCCCCAGGACGAGGCACTCTGAGCAGCTGCTTCTGCTGGTGCAGCTCTCGGTGCCCATCGCCGAGGCCAGCCTGCCCGAAGGCGTTGCTGCCCGTCTGCCCCCTCTCCCTGCAGCTGTCCGGACGAGGAGGAGGGGCCTTTCAGCGAGGCCGAGGAGGAAAAGAAGGTGTTCGAGGCCCGCGCCATGAGGCTGAGGGACTTCCAAGGTAAGGGGAGTCAGGCTGGACCACCATCATGTCCCCCGTAGGGTGAGAAGGGCTCAGGACCGCCAGCGGCATTTCTGTCCTCTCCCACTGGGGTCAGCCATGGAGCAGATCTCCACCTGAGTAACCAGGCGTTTTGTGAGGCTTTGTCATGAGAGGGCGGCGCTCGGGGCCCCTGAGCCGTTTCCAGACATTGGCTTTGCCACACACCCTGCCCCCCCCCACCCCAGTCCCTGTCCAGAAAGGAGCTCACTGGGGGTGTCCCAGGTCACATAAGGCAAAAACCCCAAGGGGACTTAGAATAGCACAGGACCCCACAGCCTCCTTCTAGAGCCTAGTACACCCTCAGCAGCCCTGGCTTTGTGTCTGCAGACCTCCGTCTCCAGCTCCCTGTTTTAATTTGTTTTAACTTCTTCATTGAGCTGTCACTCATCACGATATAATTCAGCATTTAAAGTACACCATTCCGTGGCTCGTAGTCTCTAGCAGGAGATCGTGCAACTGTCACCACAATTTTAGATCATTTTCACCACTCCCGAAAGAAAGCCCATCCCTGCAAGCTGTCACTCCCTATTCCTTCCTCCCTCAGCCCCTCGTAACCTCTGTTCTGCTTTCTGTTTCTGTGAATTTGCACATCCTGGGGATCTTGTATCAATGGGGTCTTACCTTGTTTCTCCTTTTGTGTCTCGGCTGACTTCACCGAGCGGGATGGTTCAAGGTTCAGCCACATTGTAGTGTGTGTTGACTTCCTTCCTTTTTGAGGCTGAATCCCGTTCCATTGTAAGACGCACCCCATGGGCTTGTCCATTCCCCTCCCCGGGCCTAACGGATTCCCACAAGACTTCAGTGAGATCACTGCCAAGAACAATGCCAGGGACTTTGTGGTCTCAATCGACCCCCCTCTTCCCCCTCACTAACTGAGTCATTCATTTTTAAATTAGGGAACATGTAGGCCACAAAGACACAAAATTAGGTAGTATATATTTATTTCTCTTTGTGGGGAGGGTGTAAGTTTGAGAGTATTTATTCATAGAAATGTCCAAAAGAAAGGAGGGGGACCTCCCACTGACCCCAGAAGCACAGTGCGGACACAGTGCTCATTCAGACTATTTCTACCGGCTGATAATAAAACATGGGTCCCGTGTAGACCTATCTCCGCCAGTGCCACAATCCTACAACAGTATCCCTCATTCCTGACAGGATTCTCACTGCATTAGAAATAGATACTTTCGCTATGGAGATGGGCTTTCCCATCTCCGATCAAAAGCTGGTCTCATCCTTCACGCTGGCCCATGAGGGACACTCACCCAAATCAGGAGCCAGGCAGGACCAGCCCCTCCCGCTGGGATTCCCTACACCCTGTAAGTTCCTCCAGGGTCACAAGGGGAGAAGTGGAAGTAAGACCAGGACTGCAGGGCAAGCGACAGACTTGTGTTTTGCATGTGATGTGATTACTTGCCTAGCAAATCTAATAGAACCACCTAGAAAACTGTTGGAACCTCTGAGGGCGCCCAGTAAGTAGTTCAGCCGAACGTGACGTGTATGCACGGGCAGCTACCAGTGAGAAAGTTGCTGTCGCAGCAACAGCAGCAAAGAGTATCAAACCCAGAGAGACCTGTAAGGAGTCTGGCCTAAATGCCTGAAGGAGGAGTTTCGGGAGAAGACGACGAAGTCTTGGAGGCGTCTCCCTGCGGCCCATACGAGGAAATCGGCCAGTTCTGGTCCTCGTGCACACCCCACAGTGTTTGGTTTCTGTAACTAGAGCAAATGATCCAAAGACAGGGCTGTGGCCTCCCCTGGGACTTTGTGGTCTCAATCGACCACATGCCCCATGGGATGTTGGACTCAGGGTGGGCTGCAGGTGGGAGCTGGGTCCCCAGGGAAAATGACCCCAGAAGGCCAACCCTCCGCTTCCTGTTGCTTTGCAGAGCGACTGAACGTGAAAGACCAACAGATTGCACAGAGCCTTGGCGAGAAGCAGCAGATCTACCTGGAGATGGCGGAGATGAGCGGGCTGGAAGACGTCACTCAGTCGCGACTCCTCTTCCGAGGAGGGGATTCCTCGGAGACCAGGCAGGGGGAGCTGATCCTCAAGTCGGCCATGAGTGAGAGTAAGGAGCCGCATCTAGGGGCCCTCACTGGGTGCTGGTCCACGGCCACCCTACAGTTCTGCCTGGTTGGGGGGGGGGTCCGGGCATGCTCCCGGGAACAGTGCTGACCCCCCCAGCAGACTTAAAGCACCTTCTCCCGGGCACCCACTACAGGTGAGGCAGCACCACGCTGCACCCCTGGAATCTGAAGTCAACCAAGACGGGTTCCCACACTCGGGAGGTTCTTTCTGACAAGTGGGTCGCAAATGATGTCCCCAGATATAAGCACACATCCACATGGGTAGGTCACTTCAGAGGGCTCCGACACCCAGCCGGCCTCCCAGGAGGGCTTCCCGAAACATCTAGGTGGGAAGAGGCTTATGAGCACAGCGGCCACAGGAGGGCGCTGGCGAGCACGTGGCCTATCCCCTCTGTGCACCCTCAGCCACAGGGCCTGCTTCCAGGGGTGGCCAGGGGCCTTGCCCGAGCCCCTAGTGGCCCCCAGGCAGCTGCCAAGCCAGCCTCACGTGAGGCCCAGCATGTGTCAGGCCAGGCAGCCGGTGCTTGTCGGTCCAGCTGGGAAAGCAAGTGAGGGAGACAGCTGCTGCCCTCCAGGCCTTTCCTTTGGAGTGAGGGGAAAGAGGGCTCCCTTGTGGACTGTGCGGCCGCGCAGTCTCGTTTCCTCCAGCCACACTGACCTCCTGCTTCTTCACATTTCTTCAGTGGCCATTGTTCTTGGCCCCCTGAGGACCCTCTTGTATCCTGCGCCTCAGCCTGGAACGTTCTTCTCCCCTCCTCCTCACCTGGCCAAAGCCTGTTTGTCCTAGAGCATTTTGTGTGACCTGACCTGCCCCCAAAGGCCGCTCTCCCATGGCCTCCAACCGTCTGTGTGACAGTCCACAGCCAAGCACACACCCACGTTCCTCACCAGGCCCAGCACGTCCCCAGCCGCCCCCACACGCTGCCCCCTGGTCCAGCATCTCCTGCGGACACAGACTGGCGTGTCCTGGTTGTTGTACCTGGAGTTTGGGCATGCACAGGCTGGGGGTGGTGGGGACTGAAGTCCCATGTTGGGGGGATAGAAGACCATGACCAATGCCCTGCGGGCTTCTCGCGCTTGAGTCCCCAGGCGCTGCCACACTCTGACACCCACAGCGCAGCTCCACAGCCTGACTCCGTTCCTCCCGTCTCCTTCCGCAGTCGAGGACATCCAGACCCTGATCTGCAGACAGCTGGGCAGCGCCAACAGCCAGGTGGAAGACGGGGGTGGCTCCACAGGCCTGCCCCGCAGGGCAGAGACCTTTGGGGGCTATGACACCGTGAGCAGCCCCGGCAAGAGTGAGTGGTGCCGCGTCCCCCTGGGGCTTCGCAGGGCCCCGCACAAGAGGTTGTGCGGGTTCTTGGAGCGTTCCCAGCAGTGGAGCCAAGGCATTTGCTGCTGGATGTCTCTGCTTCTGCTTCCTGGCAACCCCCTGCCCCAAGTACGAACCCTCTGGGCAAGTTCTGGAACCTTCAGGGAGTTGTCCATCGTGCTCCAACAGCAAGCACATGGGCCAGCCCCTCCCTCTCCTGCCAGTCTCTGAGGCTCAAATGCTACCAGGGTGGCATGGCCAATTTCCTACCTGGGTCTCAGGGATGGGGGGGCCTGGTCCGGACCCAGTGGGACCTCACGCGCCTGGATTGGGCTTTTCAGATGGCAGCTTGAAGAAGGCCTCCAGCAGTGACCCCGGCCCCCGAGACTGGCAAGGCCCAGTGCGCAGCCCAGACTCGCAGCCCAGCAGCCCCCAGGAACCCCCTGAGGAGGCCCCACCTGCAGTACGTTGCTTCCTTGGGATATCCCTGAGCCGAGCAGGGTCAGCCCAAGCCCTTTGCGTCAGCATTCACAAGCGTGAGCCGCTTGTGTTCAGGGTTGTCTAGTTTGGGCATCTCAGGACCCATAGTGATCAGCGCTGTTCCCATTGTCCCGGGAAAGAATCTGGGCCCAGATGAACCTGTGGGCAGGCTTCATGTTCCCTCCCGCACTCCCCAGGAATGGTACGAGGTGCCCAGGACGGAGGTGAGGGAGGGGACAAGCCCAGGACAGGAGCTGTGGCCGCAGCAGCAGCCAAGGGGCACAGCGGGGGCCCTGAGCACCAAGTCTGCACGTGTGTCCTCATGCCTGCGTGTCCTCACGCCCGTGTGTCCTCATGCCTGCGGTTGCTGAGGTCCCTGGCTGCTTCCCTCGGACTCTGGAGGCCCACCCTTACCAGGCACCCAGGCCAGAGTGGGGTCAGGCTGTGGGTCAGGCTCCCCTCTGCTGCCCACTTGCTCCCCTGAGCCTGCGCTTACCCTCTGAGAGCTGAGGCCGGGCGCACCTGACCTCCAAGACTCCCCATGCTGAACCCACAGCCGCTGCCTTCCCACCTCCAGGAAGGCCGGCCTGTGCCCTCGTCTTCCAGACTCCAGGACTCACACAAGTCAAATGACCAGGCAGGGCGCGGGGCGGGGGGGGGGGGGTCTCGTCAGTAATAAGCAGGTCCTTAGCTCTTTGTGTTAGACACCGTTCTCTCCACAGGTCACTGTGCTGGGTGCAGAGTGTGGCCCCCATGTGCCCACGGTCCTGGAGTTTGAGGTAGGCTTGGGGCTCATCCGGGTCCCCCGGGGCGGGCATATACAGCCTACATGGCTTTGCAGAGAGCAGGGAACCAGCGTCTCTGTCCCTCCCTGCAGCTTGTCCAGCGGATCCAGACCCTGTCACAGCTGCTTCTCAGCCTCCAGGTACGAGATGGGGATGGGGTGGTTCTCCCTGGATCCGTGACCTGGCCCTTCTCCAACCCCTGAAGTAGGGCTCTGGGGAAGGGCAGGCCTCGTCCTAAAATCAGCCCCTGCCCGCCACCCCCCGCAGGCAGTCATCGCACAGCAGGACAGCTGCGTGGAGGTGCAGAGGGCGTCCATCCAGGAGCGCGAGAAGCAGCTGCGGCTGCAGTCCACGCGCGGGAACATGCTGCTGGAGCAGGAGCGCCAGCGCAACTTCGAGAAGCAGCGGGAGGAGCTGGCGGGCGTGCAGAAGCAGCAGGGCCGCCTGCGGCAGGAGCAGCAGCGCTGGGAGCGGGAGCGGGAGCGCCAGCAGCAGGAGCTGGACCTGGCGGCGGCGCGGCTGCGGCAGCGCGAGACCGAGGCGCTGCGGCTGCAGGAGCAGCTGAGCCAGGAGCGCGAGAGGCTGGAGCAGCAGCGGCGGGCCTACCAGCACGACCTGGAGCGGCTGCGGGAGGCCCAGCGGGCCGTGGAGCGGGAGCGGGAGCAGCTGGAGCAGCAGCGGCGCCTCAAGAAGCAGAACACTGTGCCTGGGGCGCTGCCGCCGGACTCGCTGGCGGAGGTGGGGGCCGGCCCGGTGCACCCAGTCGGCGGGAGCGCCCGGGGCAGGGAGGCGCATGCGTGGCCGCATGGGACGTGGGTGTGCGTTGCCGCCCTCGGTGGCAACTCCGCAGGTTGCCCGAGGTTGGTGGGGGCAGGAAGGGAGGGCTCTGCGCACATCTGAGGCTGGTGGCTTGCAGGGCCCGGTGGGGGTTGGGTTGGCCTTCGGAGGAACAGCTTGGGGATGTGTCCTCTGCTGCCCTTTCAGGCCCAGCCCCCAAGCCACACTCCCAGCTTCAATGGGGATGGGCTGGAAGGGCCCGCCGCCCTGGCCAAGGTGCCAGGAACCCGGGCGAGCGTGCTGCTGTCCAGCGTCGGCCCCGAATTCGCAGAGCGCCCCGAGGTGGCCCGCCGGGACAGCGCCCCGGCCGAGAGCCGGCCGGCCAAGAGCGACGTGCCCATCCAGCTGCTCAGCACCACCAACCAGCTCCAGAGGCAGACGGCGGTGCAGCAGCAGATCCCCACCAAGCTGGCCGCCTCCACCAAGGGCGGCAAGGACAAGGGCGGCAAGAGCAGGGGCTCCCAGCGCTGGGACAGCTCAGGTGAGTCCGGGCAGGGCGGCGGAGCTCGAGCAGCGGAGCCGAGCGCCAGGGGTACCCTCACCCCACCCAGAGGTGCGGGACCTTGGGCGCCCACCCAGTCCCTTGCCAGGACTCGAGGGTCCAGTCTTAGGCAGTTTGTGGAGCCAAAGCGGCTTCTTATGAGCAAACCCAGACGGGACCCCAGGGCCATCCTCCAGAGTGGGCAACAGGAGGAACCTAGAAGGCACAGCTGGCGACCTCGGCTACATGGCACAGGCCAGTCCTCTCCCCACGTGGAGGTCTCATCCCGAGAAGGAAAATGAAAACATCAGAGCCCATGTCTTTTCCCCAGCTCGGTCCTCAAACAGGGATCGGCGATGAGAGAACATCGTGGCAGTTCAGAAAGAGCCTGGGTCCCTTAGGGACATCGAGGCAACCAGTGTTCATGCTCCCCACCCGGCCCCCACCCGGGTTCTTGTGCCCAGGTCTCTGCCATGTCCTCATCCCAGAGGGGACACTGAGGGCCTTGTGGAGCGCACCCTGCAGTGAGAGGTCCCCCGGGAGAGAAAGCCCCGGGGATCCTGCGAGTGCTGCCGGCATGCAGGCTCTGGCTGAGGGGAGCCAGCCCTGGAATGTTCCTGAGGAGCAGAGCCTGTGTCCCGGGATCGCTGGGGCTCAAGGGCCGTGGGGTCGCACTCTCATCCGGAGGTTGAATGACTCCAAGGGCCCTCTGGTCGGGTGTGGCTGCTTCTGGGGCTTATTTCGGTCTGAGTGGGTGTGTCCCTGGGCAAAACGGTTCTGCTCTGCTCGTGTGCCCGGAGCGACGCCAGACACCTGAGGCTGTGTGCTCCTTCCCTCAGCCTCCTTCGACCTGAAGCAGCAGCTGTTCCTCGGCAAGCTCGTGGGCAAGGACGAGAACACCGCTCGGAACCGCCGCTCGCTGAGCCCCGTCCTGCTCAGCAGCCACGGCTCTGTACCCCCCACAGGTGGGCCCAGCACCCCAGCACCCTGTCCCTGGGACAGCAGGGCCAGTGCGACGCCTGGCAGCTGCCAACAACCGCCACTCCCCACTCTCTTCCAGAACCCTGCTGCCCGGCCCCAGCTGACGTCCCTCCTGAGTGCTGCTCCCTCAAGCCTGGGGGCACACCCGTGCCCCCCTCCCCCTTGCCACTGCCCACCACGCCACTCGACAAAGAGGACAGCAACAAGGAAGACGTCATCTTCTTCTAGAGGGGCTGTGGCTCGAGGTGCAGACCCCTCCCTGTCTTGCTGTCTGGGGGACATCCCAGTCGTCCCTCTCCACTTCCCGAGCAAACCACCACCAACGGCCACCTGGCTTGGGTCAGGGTCAAGGTCAGGGCCAGGGCTGGCCCATTGTCTCGAGGCTCTTTCTGTAGGTTTAGCAGTGGTGCCTGGGTAACTTTCTAAGCCTCTTTTTTTTTTAACACAAAAAGGAAAGTTTTTAATCGAAGGTTGAACCAGAGCTAACCCAAGGAGCTGTGTCCAGTCACAGCTCCCCTGCTGGGGAGGGAGAGATCGACTCCACACCATTTGTTCCAAGGTAGTGATGAACAGTGGTGCAAGATGCCTGATGATAGGCCAGACCCCAGTCTGAGGAGGGGGGGGCCACCAGGAACGTACAATTAGAGTCCCAGAAGGGGCTGGGTGCCATCAGCAAGCCCCACTTCCAAAGCTGAGACTTGACCGTGTTCCTGCTGAACCTCAAGGCCAGGGCATGAGTTCAGACGGGGGGGGGGGGGGGGCGCACACAGTGCCCCCTGGGGACAGTAGGCCACAGGGTGGGGCGTATGAAGAGGACGGCCAATGGCTCAGGAGACAGGCTCTAGAGGTTCTGAAAGGGATAGACCATAACTCATTTTAATTTGACAGAGGTTTTTAAAACCTGCCGTTGGCCAAACGTGGTGCTTTTCAAAGGCACCTCAGGACGGAGGCCTGCTTCTGTGGGGTTCAAGGGCACCAGCCGTTCTCCGAGCGCTCAGCCTGTCTGGAGAAGCGCAATTGAGAGCATTAGCCGGGGCCGCTCGCTCCTGAGGGTCCCAGCTCAAGGCAGAGGGTCCTCTGCCCCCATGAGATGGGCGGGGTCTTCCTGCAGCTGCAGGGAGGAAGGCCTCAGGGCAGGTGTCCCGCAGTGACGGACAGGTGCTGGTACAAGAAACAGAGCGGAGGGACCACCATGTCCTCATGGACAAGGGCGAAATGGTAGAGGGATCACACGGCCTGGAGACCTCAGATGGGTGGGTGACTCCGGGTGCCTTGTGGCCAGTGAGCTCTGTTAGGCTCTTGTCACCTCCCACTGGAGGACAGGGGTTACCCGTCGTGCTGGATGTCCAGGAATGTTCTGGGGCTGGCCAGTGGGTCGGAGACACACTTCTGCTGTGGAGGAACTCAAGCTTGGGCGCAGGGTGGCGGATGAGGATACGCCAGCCTTTGCTCCCCAGGCTCCCCCACCCCCACCCCACTGAGCCCAGAGCCCTGTCCCTCCCAAAGCGGCAACCGAAGGACTGGGACCCCAGCTGAGCAGTTCTGAACCTCTCCCGGGCACAGTGAATGGTGTGCCAAGCCCGGCCTCTCCGAGAACCTCCGCTTGCTCCGCCCCTCCCCTGCCTCCCACTGTGCTTGGGGCCTGCAGCAACTGCGCATCCTCGGGGAGCAAGGACAGGCGTCCTCCCTCGGCCCCGTGACACGTCCAAGCTCATCCGTGCCATGTCTGTGGTCATTGTTGGTGTTTTCGTACTGAGACGTCTCCGAGCACTTTAGCAACGTCGACTTTAAGTTTCTGTCCTCTTGTGAAGAGAACATTCCCGGGCCCTCACACTGGGTGATTTCACCACCATGTGCCCCTGGCCGCCTGCTCTGGTCTGACCCTCCGAGACACCACGATCCCTCAGCCGGTGACAAGTCCAAGGACTCTTGGCTCGGCCATGTGGCAGGAACTGGGGTGTCCCGCCACGGGTCAGTGTCGGTGGTGGTCTGTCTCTCGTCCGGGCGAGGTCCCTCCTGGGGAGAGCCCGATTTTACTTGTACAGTTGGTGGTTGAGCAGATCCTCTTTATTTCCGTGGAACCCGTGCACGTCCTCGTTCATTGTGACCATAATCTTAGTCCACCCGACAATTACTTTTACGATGATTGCAGCATTTCCTCACCGCGGGGTCTTTGAGACCCGCCCTAGAACTGAAGACCTGATTCCAGCAATAAAGGTGTCGAAGATGAGCCGACGGGAGTGTTCGGGGTTTTGTCGAAGGGGGCTCGGCCCAAAGGTCAGTGCTGGAAGGGGCGCCCCTCACACCCTCTGCTGCAGGATGACCTTGGGGAGGCCTGGACCCCATGCCCAGGGCCCCACACGCTGCACCCAGGAAGCTCCACAGATGATGACTGAATCCAGGCATTGAGAGGCGGAGGCAGTGGGGACGCCTGGGGCCCCCTAGGAGCAGCCCTCCAGACAAGGCTGAGTGAGGGGTGGGGATGTGGCCAGGTCCTCCTCGCTCAGGCAGGGTCCCCGTGCTCTTGGAATGTCACCCTCCTAGACAAGGAGCTGTCACCCCGAGCAGGGCCATCCCCAAGGCCCATCTGCCTCTCTCTGCCCAAAGGAGCTGAGTTGGTGACAGCAAGTGCTCCCTGGGGCCTGGGAGAACACCTGTAGGTCCCGCTTCCAGGAACTGGCTGGCCTTGCCCCCCGCAAGAGGCTGAAGTTGCCAGGCAAGGAAGGGCACTGGGCGGGGGGTGTGGCCATACTACAGAGGGTGCTGCCCAGATGCCCAGCACCTGGCTCTGCCCAGGCCCATGGGGGCACCAGCCTGCTGAGCCAGACAAGCTGCCTGTGTGTGGTGCCCCGCCAAACAGTGCTCTGAGTGCCTTACAGGCAGGGAAATGGGTGCTCCTGGAGGTCCCCCCCCACAATGCCCCCAGTGCCCGGAGTTCTGGGAAGGGGGCCTCTGCTAAGGGCCAAGGCGAGCACGTCTCCCCTTTGCGTGAGGGGAGAGGGAGACTGACGGAGCCCGGCCCCTCCCCTCGCCCAGGGCCAGGTGGGCGGGTCGACTGTGCCCCGAGTTAACCCGGAGCGGCCTCCGTCCCAGGTCTTCCCACCACGTAGCTTCCTTGTGGGACGCGACATCGGGCGGGTGTCCTATGAAGTCTCAGGGTCTGCAAGCCCATTTTTGTTGGCTGTGGGATGTAAGGGAGAGCCTGATCCCCTCTGCTTTCCGGTTAGGACAGAGGTGGAGGGTCCGAGGACACATCAAGAGGGGCAGGGGCGGGCTGGCCACCATCTTTAGGCGCCTCCTGAGGCCACACACACGGGGCCTCTCGCGTGTCAGCTAGAGACATCCCGACCCACCCCATGAGGTGGGAGACGGGAGCCTGCGAGGCCCAGCCGCAGACGAGTCCATAAAGCACTCAGAGGGGCGCTGGGCCCGAGCTGTGGCTGGGTGCAAGATGCTTTGACCACAGCAAGCACCCTGGAGCTGCACAGGGGACAAGACAGGCATGGCCTGGTGGAGGGTGACCTCTGTGGCCTCTGTGCCCCAGACGGGAGAGCTGCTCGCCTTGGCCAAAGGCTGCTCAGGGGCGGCGGGCTGTGCTAGCAGAGTCAGAGAGGACCCACTGGGCCAAGCATGTTCCAGAAGGCGGGCCGGGGAGGTGTGGTTTCCAGGCATCACCCACACCCCCCTTCCCCCACAATGCACAAGGCTGCCGCTGCCCCAGAGGAACAGGGTGTGTGAGCGAGGGGGCCTGCAGTGATTTAGAAATAAGCTCTCATGCTTGGCCTGGCACCAACACACTATTTAATCAATCATCATCTCAACCTTCTCAAGGCCCGCCTGGCGCCCGCCATCCCGGCTTCCCAGCTTGCCTTTATTGGAATGCAGAACACAGGCCGCGCAAGGCACTGCGAGGCCCCCGGCACCCTTTTCTGCATGTAAGGCCTGGGGACCCCTCCTCTGGCCCTGAGAAAAGCCTCCCACGTGGAGCCCCAGCCTGGCTGGAAAGGCCCTGGCTCTTGGACCCTGGGAGACCTCACCCCTGCCCCCATCCTGCCCCAGAATGGGCGTGCGCCCGAGGTGGCCCCGTGTGTCCTCTAGGTGACACTCCCTACACCTGGCATTGATTCGCTCAGTTAGACCCAGCCCCCCCCCACCAAGTGATTTCTGCTTTGTGGAAGGGGCTCCAGTGGGGTTCTGGCTGCAGCCACGCCTCCCAGGCCACATCAGGGGGTGGTGGCCTCGCCCTGGCCACTGGCCCGGACAGCCTGGTACATGCTGAGGAGGGAGGAGATGGTCCCAAGGAGCCCCACGAGCCACGGGGGGAAGCGGCCAGCCCACAGGACGCCCGGAGGCAGCCAGTGCACAGCATTGGCCAGATCGGCCGCGTTGCTCAGAAGGGTCAGCACCTCCGACTGGACCTGGGCCTCCATGGCCCTCCTCTTGCTCCGCGGCAGCCGGCTGTGGGAGCAAAGAGAAGCGGCTGGGGAAGACCCACGCACACCCAGGCTCACCCGAACAGCAGGGAGAGGTGACAGCAGAGTGAGTGAGAACTGGTGGGGCTGAGTCCCTGTCGCACCCCGCAGAAGGAGTCTCCAGCGTGAACAGGGCACAGACTAGTGTGGGAAGTCTCAAACCCACACCACAGTCCTCTGGGCCCTGGAGACAGGCCAGGAGCTGGCTGGTGGGCACAGCGTTGCCCCACATTCCTTCCCGGGATGCAACAGGGACCGTGACCTCAGTCCCTAAGAAACCTGTTTCTGACCACCCGCCCTGCATGGGGTGTGGCCAAGAGGGCTCAGCCACGTCCCGCCGACAGGGCTCAAGCCAGCCTCAGTTTCTCCATCTGGACCAGCCTCGAGCTGCTGTAAGGCCCCCATGCAGGCCCGCACAGGGGCGAAGCTGAAAACTGGTGACAGCTCAAGGCACCTCCCTGGCTAGGGAAACCCACCAGGGTCCCCAACTTGCGGGAGGAAGTCGGCCTTTCTCCAGAGCAAAACCGCAGGGTCGTACCTGGTGAAGGCCACCGTGGGGCCCCTCAGCCTCCCTCTCAGCATCAGGACCATCCTCAAGGACCTGCAGCAGGCAAGGAAAGCAGGGTGAGGGCGCAGGGGTTAGCTCCCCAGCGCCAGCCCGAGGGGAGGCCACCACCCGCCACGATGGCCACATGTGGCTGCAGCCGTCGTGCACCCTCCCAGAGCTCCAGACCCACCTGGGCCTCAGAAGCTCCCGGCAACTCCTAATCCAGGCCCTGACCTGCCTGCCCTGTCCACACAAGATCTGGAAGCATCTAGTGCTTCTGATGCTGGAGCCAGCCACGTGTCCCTGTCCACGCGGCCTGTCCCCAGAGAGCATGGGACCCAAGGCAGCCCCTGCAGTGAGGTAAGTGGGTCTGCATCGGGGCCCCCTCGAAGACCGGGGCAAAACGCCAATTCCTGCGCCCCGGGTCCCGACTCGCCAAATCCAAACCTCTCACCACCTGGGCCTCTGCGTTGCTGCAACAAACCCCCTCTCAGGCACTTGGGGTCCTACGGACACCTGGCTGGGACCCCCACGCTTGCTCACCCCAGATAAGAGAGGAATGATGGAAAAAGTATAAGCTCTAAAAATGAAGAGGCCAAGCACAGACGATCTGAGGCCGATGCCGCCACTCTCTGATCGCACAGCAGCGGAAATGTCTCGTTCCACACCTGTCCAGGCCCCCAGGATGTGCCACCCAGTGAATCCTGATGTAAACCACAGTCTTGGGGTGCCCGTGACTTGTCGACGTGGCTTCATCAGCTGCTGGGGGAGTTTGATAATGGAGGGGCTGTGGGGCGGGTGGGGCACTTGCAGAAGCTCTCTTTTCTTTCGGTTCAATTGCGCTGGGAAGATGAACTAAAAATGAAAGTCTATCTTTAAAAATTAATGGATCCGGGGTGCCTGGCAGGCTCAGTTGGTGGAGCCTGCCACGATCGATCTCAGGGTTGTGAGTTCGAGCCCCACTTTGGGTGTAGAGATGACTTAAAAAATTTTTTAGAAAAATTTTTAAAAACAAATCAGTGGGACCAAGGATGCTCTAAAACAGGAACGAAAAGCATCTTGGGGCCAGAGGTCCCAGGCACTGTGAGGAGAGGCCGGGAGCCAGCCCTCTGGGAGCTGTATGGAGAGTGGGGATCTCCGCATTGAACTGTGGATGGCTTGAACCTTCCACTCTGGGGTTTGTTCTCATGTTCCAGACCATCGATGATAACAGTATAATTAGGGGATGTGTCCCTGGGGAAAACAAGGGCTTTGGAATGTCGGTGTCTGGGGCGGTGGGGGCGGGGGGAATGGCAGCTGATGTGGGCTCCGCCCCCACCCCTCCGGGGATCTGAGAAGCCCGCCTGTGCCTTCGGATCAGGGAGCTCAGAACAATCCCACTGAGCCCCTGTACGGAGAGAAAAATGTTCGGAAGGAAACCCTTATTTGAAAGTTCTAGAAAGTTCTAGTGTGGGTTTCAGAAGCACATAGCCAGTCAGGAAACTCCTGGCTGTTCTCTTTAGGGATGTTTACAGACAACCGCGCAAGCCCGGAGTTCAGAGACCCCGGGGAAAGGCAGTCCCACCGTCTCCTTCTGTCCCCAGCCTGGAGTTCTTTCTGCGTCCTGGGTCCGGTGGGCACAACCACACCCTCCATAGATGTCCACATCCTAACGCTCCCAGGCCCTGTGAGCGTGCTCTCTGACACGGCACAAATGACTCTGCAGATGGGCGAGGATATGGGGTCCTCACAGGGCCCTCAGGAGGGGGAGGCAGCAGGGTTGGAGCCGGAGACATGCCCAAGCGAACGGGCTGTCAGGATGGGCTCTGGAGACGGAGAGAGGGCCGGAACCAGGGAGGTGCCCCTTATAGCCAGCTGGAGGGCATGAGGGCCACATACCTGGCAATGCCCAGGAGCAGAGAGAGGCCCCAGAAGGCTGTGCTCAGTGTCCACCACCGGGCAGAGTCCACGCGGAGAATCTTGGCATCAGCAGCCCAGGCGATGTGCTCACAGGGGTAGTAGAGCTGGTCGGCCAGGTTGCCGAGGACCGATACGCAGCGGACAAAGATGTCCTCCTCCTGCAGGACCGGCGGTGGGGGACATGGGCCTGGAGTCAGACCTAGCCAGGCCCATCTTAGGGACCCAGGCCAAGCCCAATAGCGGTCACAGGGCGGCGTCAAGGCCCAGCAGGCCGGCCCACGGCTGGCCACCTCGGGGAAGAAAGGCCGTGAAGGAACCAGAAACAGCTGACAACAGTAGCTGCTTCGGAGGAGGAAAACCGAGGGTGGGGGGGCATCGGGAAGGAGGGAGACTTTTTAATCACATAGCCTTTTGGAACATATGAACGGGTAAGCTATTTTTTCATTTAAATTCAAATGAGAACAACTGATCATCTCACAAAAGCAAGCAAAATTTTGGCCCACACCATTGCCTCTACACAAGTCCGTAAAACACCGGTTTCCCAGAGTCTACGGCCCCACACGCCCTGTTACCTCGGCCCCCAGGCCATACTGCTTCGTGTAGATAAACATGGCCACATCGTCAAAGAGTCGCAGGACGGTCCTACAGTGGCTGAGTTGGGAGGACAGGGTCAGCAGGCGCGTCCCCACTTCTGACCTGGCTGGACATCGTTCCACCAGGACCCCGCCAACCAGCTGGCAGCAGTACCCCAGCGTTCGGATCTGTGGGAAACCAGAAGCAGTCAGCAGGGCCCTGCTCCTGGGCTGAGCTGGATGGGCTCCGACGTGGCCGTGGGTCGCATGAAATCAAGTTGGGGGCCGGCGGGGGGGGGGGGGGTTGTGCGGACTAGATCAACAAACTTCCAATAAAAGCTGCGAGTTTTGGGGCACCTGGGTGGCTCAGTGGGTTAAGCCGCTGCCTTCGGCTCAGGTCATGATCTCAGGGTCCTGGGATCGAGTCCCACATCGGGCTCTCTGCTCAGCAGGAAGCCTGCTTCCCTCTCTCTCTCTCCCTGACTCTCCGTCTACTTGTGATCTCTGTCTGTCAAATAAATAAATAAAATCTTTAAAAAAAAAAAAAAAAAAAGCTGCGAGTTTTAAGAGCTCCTTCCAGGTGGGACAAATGAAGAAATGTAACCATTGTCCAAAAGTCACTGCAGAGACCCTAAGGCAGTGCTGGTTCGTATCCCTGAGGGGCACACCCTTTAGAGACAGATGTCACAAGAAAACGCAACCATTCCGCAGCTCATGGGTCCTCCTTTCCCCAGCAGACCGGAGAATGAGGCCGGTGTGCATATTTGCATCTGCCCAGCTGGACCAATGTCAGTAGCTGGGCTGGGGAGCGAAGCGGTGGGGCTTGAGACCAGTGAGCCAAAGGGTAATCTGCTCGAGTTACTTCAGTGAGGAGGAATCCACTCAGTGGGTAACTTGGGGCATGGGGAACTGGGTCAGCTTCACCGCCCTCACAGCTTTATTTCATCTGCTTTCCAGAAATTGTTTTTTCCTGCTAATACGTTACTCTCTCAATTTTTCAGTCCCTTTGTAACAGCAAAACTCTGCATTTTAAATGTGAAGCTTGGGAGATTATTAAAACCTGAATGCCCAGTCATAGGGGATTTGAATGGGACCTAACTGCCCACCACTGGTACGTTTCCTGGTACAACCTAGATGCTGGCCTATAAGAGAGAAAAGCTTATGTAGGAACAAGCTGAGTGTCCGCCTTCAAGGGCCTTCCAGCCATATGGGAAAGCCCTAAACATCTTAAATCCCCTATGAGATTGTTAGGGACGACCCAGGGACCAACTAGGGCAGCCTAGTCAGATCCTAAATGTTCAAACAGGGGTTGGGGTGGCCTGTAAATGTCCAGCCAGGCTGAGCTGTAACAACCTAAATGCCCAGTTACAGGGGATTCGGTGGCAACCTCAATGCCCAGCCGTAGAGGCAGCGCTGCCACACCCTGCGTCCTCATATGCGACTGCCTGGGACAACCCAGTGACCGCCTTCAGTGGTCGGGTCGGATCCCAAATGTCCAAACTTGCGGATTTGGCTGGTATTGAAAATACCCCACCATGATGAGTCAGCAGGAACAACCTGCTTGTCCACCGCTAGGGGACAGGGTCGAAGCCCAGCCGGGAGGACGCCTCGGCGACAGGGGATCCTGAGCGCCCCGCCCCGCTCCGGCCTCAGTTTCCAGTCACTGAGCTCCGGCCCTGATCCGGGACCTCCGGCCGCGCTCCGCCCCAGCCTCACCAGGCGGTCCCGACCCCTGTATGATTCCAGCCCAGCCGCCAGGCCGCTCAGCGCCGCCATGGCAACTCCGCCGTGACGCCACCGTGGCGTCTGCGCGCAGCGCCGGGGGGCGGGGCAAGACGCTAGGCCACGCCCCCCCCAGAACTCTCTGCGCAGGCGCGGCAGCGACCCGTTGTACCCAGACACTGTCTTTGTTTGCTGCAGGGAGCCGGACTGGTTTGCAGGCTAGTGGCGGCCACGTGTGCACCCAGACGGCCCTGGGAGCCCGCCGCGACGACTCGTCTTTTCAAAGTTAACCACCTACCCACAAAAGTAATATCCAAGCGAAAGCACCAACCCGTTTGCTCTGGTTCAGGAAGGGATTTTCCCTTTTAATTTCTGCGCTTCCCCATTTCTGCATTGTCTGCTTGTCCACAGGGAGCATGTACAGCTTTTGTAAATTCGTGAAAGACATTCTGAGAATGCTAAGGAAACTCCTACACTCGTTCTAGAAGAGGCGAGATTCTGGTAACGAGTTGCTCCGAAGAGGGTAACTGTGTGGCTGGGAAGAGGATATTAAATCGTTCACCTCTGTACCCCATCGTAGCTCCCCGCCCCCCACATAGGTGTGCATCACTGTATGATTTTCAGGTGCACAGCAGCAAGGTTTGACCCAGACACCATTAAATGATTACAGTAAGTTGAGTTAGCAACCATCATCTGGTATAATTTTTGTAGCTTTTGAATTTTGTGCAGCATACGTGTATTCTCTTATCAAAAAGTCAAATGAAATTTTTCAAAAAGTTAACATGACCCGTTTGCCTTTTTTTTTTTTTAATATTGTGACACATATGAGTCACCGTTTTAAGACATACAATGAAGTGGTATTTGCAACACCCACATGGACAAATATCACCCCTTTTTAGCTTCAAAACATTTTCATCGCCCTCATGGGAGACCCCATAATTCTGGCAAGCAGTTAAATCTATTCCTCCTTACCCAGCCCCCAACCCTCACCGTCTGGTTTGTCTCAGTGGGTTTACCCATTCTGGATATTTCATATAAATGGAATAATGCGGTGTGTGATCATTCATGTTTGGCTTCTTTCACTTAGCATCACGTTTCCAGGGATTCATCCACGTTGTAGCTTATATCAATACTCCATTCCTTGGGATGCCTGGGTGGTTCAGTCGGTGCCTTGGGCTCAGGTCATGATCCCTGTGTCCTGGGACTGAGTCCCACATCCGGCTCCTTGCTCAGCAGGGAGCCTACTTCTCTGCCTGCCTGTGCTCTCTCTCTCCCTTACAGATAAATAATCTTAAAACAAAAAACAAAAAACCTCCATTCCCTTTGTGGCTGTGTAATATTCCCTTGAATGGATCTGCTGCATTTCGTTTATCCATTCAGCTATTGATGGACCATTGGATTGTTTCCACATTTTGGCGACTGAATAATGCCGCTATGAACCTGGGTGTGCATGTATCTATCTGTTCAAGTCCCTGCCTTCAACTTCAGTTCCTTTGGGTAGATTCCCAGGAGTGGAAGGGCTGGGTCATAGGGTAGCTCTGTGTTTGACTTTTTGAGGAACCACCAGACTCTTTTCCACATTAGCTGCACCACTTGACTTTCCCACCAGCAATGCACGACATTCTCCACATTCCTGCCAACACTTTTATTTTGCTTCATTACTACTATTATTGCCCTATTATTATTACGGCCGTCCTGCTGGGCGGGACACTGTATCTCTCGCTATAGGTTTGCTTTATATTTCCCTAATGATTCATGATGTTGACTGGCTGCCTTTTGCAAAATATTTCCCCTTGATTTCAACTTCTATGACCCTTTCTGCCTCATTCCCTTATTTTCAACCACACCGCCTTCCTCCTGGTCCTTGAAATTACAGTAAGAACACTTCTGCCCCAGGGCCTTTGCACTGGCTGTACCCTCTGCCTCCAGATTCCCACATGGTTCCCTCCCTCTCCTCCTCCTCATGTTTATTCGGACATTATCTTTTCATTAGACCTCCCCATCACACCCTCCTGGACAATTCCTACCCACATTTCCTGCAGCCTTGTTTTCCTCCTAAGCTTAGAATACTATCTAACATAACTATATTGCTTCTTTATCTAGCTGCCTAGTTATTTGTCTCTCAACACAACGTGAGGACTTTGATTTGTCTTGGTCATAGTTATATCCCCACAGCCCGGCACAAAACAGTTTCTCAGTAAGTGCCATAGACTTCCGGGCTCAGCTGTCTGCCCAAAGCTCTGTGCTCACACTCCATCCACACGATCCTGGGAAATCTCATCTCCCACGACTTCCCTGGCCCCCTCTTCACTGACCTCTCCCTCATGCCTCTTTAACCCTAACCTGACTCCTGCTCCCACCTGCCGCCTGGACACTTTCCCTGCACATCCCACCAACCCTAGCCCCACACTCAGCATGTCCCAGCATCCTCCGGGACATCTCGCTCTCCCGTGTCCCCATCTCCAGGCTCTCCCGCCAGTACCAGACCTGGACATCATGCTCACCTCTTTCTCTCCACACTCGCCCCTCCTACATCCCAATGTCACTGGAATCCATCCACTTCCTCCTGGCCCACAGCCCCCTCCATAGGCAGACCCCCTCCTCTCTCCAAGCCCTGGACCCCCAGACCCGCCTCCCCCAGGTCTGTCTTCCCTACAGCATCTCAAGATGGGGAGTCAAGAGACTCTTTAACTCCCACATCTGACCACAGCCCTCCTTGCTTAAGACTTGGGCACAGGCATCTGTGTGCCCCACCCCCCAACTAGGGAAGCTATTCCTTCAGCAGAAAAAAAAATCAGAGCCAAGCCCAAGGCCTGCAGAGGGAAGAGGGTCTTGGGCTGTAGCGCACACTGCTGCCTGACTGGCCAGATCCCTTCTCTTGAGCCCCTGCTGTCCCTGACAGCATCATAATCGCACAGTACATTTTCTGAGTGACTGCTGAGAACCAGGCCCTGTGCCAGGCATCAAGCAGAGAGCAGTGAGTCTTACAAGCCCTGCCAAGCCCTCCCAGCGTCCTCCACCATCTGGTTAGGGCCAAGCTTGACCTTTGAGAGAGAGACAGGAGCTAGCAGCTCCACAGCTGGCCTTGTTGTTGCTAGGAGCTGGCCTGGCTGTCCCAGCTAAGCCCTGGTGTTCTCCTGTGGGACATAAATAATTTTGCAGAATGCCAACAATGGACAAGGCCGCTTGGTGACCGTGGCGGAATGAGACAAAACAAGCTCGCTCTGTGATCACGTCTGAATGCAGGCAAAACATGAGCATTGTCCAAACCACAGCAGCAAACCAGACATCCCCACGTCCTGGATAGTCTGACTGACTACTGATCCTTTACCAATGACTGCTTTACTCTTGCTTCATTCCTTAGACTTTCTGATAAAAACTAAGACCCTCAATAAGAGAATTATCTCTCCCCGCTTTGCTTCCCGACGGCATCCAGGATCCACCTCCCGGTCCTTCTTTTCCCAGCAGGCAGAAGGACAAGGCTGAAATGTGTCTTTGCAACAACCTGGCTGGGCCAAAGCCCTCAGCTGGGCTCCAGGTAGGACAGCCAGTGACAGGACCTCAACCCTGTGGACAAAATGACAATTTGCTCAAATTTAGTGAGAAGAAACCCACTCAGTTAAATAAGCCCTGGTGAGGTATTAGCTAATGTTACAATGACAGTTGAATTGCACTATAAATGTATCAAATCAATGTGTTGTGCATCTCAGACATAGGCAATCTTCTTCTGTGTTAATTATATCTCAATAAGGAAAAGAGAGAAAAAGAAGGAAGGAAGGAAGGAAGGAAAGGGGAGGGGAGAGGAAGAAAGGAAGGAAGGGAGGGGGAAGAGAGGGAAGGGGAGAAGAAAAAAGGAAAAAAGGAGGGGAGGAAGGAATGAGTCCTGGAATGACCTTAAGCATTGCAGTGACCCAAAGACCAAAGATGCTCGCTCATTCTGTGTGGCGAGTGTTAGGAAGCCGACCAGCAGGAAAACTTTGGGAAATTATACTCATGAACACCTGCCCCCAATCCTCACTGCGGCTTTCTAAAGTGGTCACCATTCTCCGCCCCATTTTCCAGATGACAAAACTGAGGCTTCGAGAAGTCACTTGCCAAGCTCTCTTGAGCTCTCAGGAGGCGGGATCCTCTGGCCTCACTCCTGATCTTCCTCCCAGCCGCCCTCAGAGGTCCTGGGAGACCATTGTGACAGCACCGCCTGGGGGAAGCTCTTTGGTCACAATAGAGAGAGCTGGGCCACACTGGGACGCAGCCTTGGAAGAACAAGGAACGTGTGAGCATCCTCTGGGAGACTGGGGACAGAGTCAGAGGAAGTCTCGAGGGTCAGGCCGGTTGCCAAGCGCATCTTCTAAGACTCAGTAGTCCCCATGCCACCCCTTGAGGTAAGTACCTTATCCTCATCCCCCATGTGGAAGCTGAAGCTGACGGGAGCCCAGTTACTTATTCCAAGGTGACCTAGCTAGTAACTTCAGTTGTCCGATTCTCCATCAACTGTAAGAAAACTTCTCAACCCTCAACTCTTTTTGCTGCCAAAATGGTAAAAAAAAGAAAAAAAAAGCGAACACAGACACTGAAAAACTGTGGTCTTGTTATCATGCTTGATGCCTGCTTTCTAAAGAGGTCGACGTGAGCTAGCTGTGAGCGGACGTGGTCTGGGCAGGGGGTGAACCTGCTCTAGGGGTGTGGTAGGACGAGGGGGAGGACGACTTTTCCGCTCTGAGCAAAGGCAAGGAAGTCCCAGTTAGCTAACTGGGGCGCTGACAGCCGGGAACTAGAGATCAGGGAAGTGGAGTGAGAGGTGTCTAAGCTTCAGAGAGTTTGAGGGAAGGAAGAGATCCTGGAGGGCAACTGCAGGAGGCAGGAAGCCCCACGAGGAGGTGTGTGGCACAGATAGGACAGTGGCCAGGACTGAGCAGACATTGAAGGGGAGAGCCATGGCCTTGATCACTGACTGAGAGTGAGGAGAGGGGGATCCTGTATCAGAGAAACTGAAGAATGCAGTGGTTCATTCTTCAGCCCTTCCTGCGGCTCACTCTGCACTGACCCCCTCCAGGCAGGGCCTTTGCACCTGCTGC